AATGGGGGAATGAAAATGCGCCGAAGGGGCAATTTGTTTATACGGCAAAGAGGAAAACACCTGCAATTTTAGCACAGAGACAACCATTTCTCTCTCTCCCTCTACGCATCTATCTCTCTTTCTCACTGCATCTCTATGGCTCTATAACTCTTTGTCCTAGCTCTCTATCTAATTTGCTTCCACATTTCTATGGCAATGGAATGCAGTAGTTTCCAGTGGCAACAATTCATTAAGATTATGGCCAGCAATGGATGGGAGGGGGGAAGGTAGAGAAAGAGAGTGCAGAACAGAGCGGCAGACTCAAAGGTGCAAAAGGAAGAGATGTATGAGGAGGAGAGGAGAGCAAGGCAAGGCAGAACAGTGACTCAAATGGAAATGCAGTTTCGACTAAGTGATACCCTGTTAATGGAGTATATTAATTAAACTTTTATTACATATATTTAAGCTTCAGATTTAAGAGATAAAATAAAACTTATATTGTAACTTATATTCTGGAAAGTCCTTTAAAAATAATTAAGGTAAAGGTTTTTATGGAAGGTGATTGATTAATTTTAGAAGATTCTCCTTCAAATATCCGCCCAACATGCTGCACATATTACAGATACTCCCACAATTCCCCCGCCTAATGCCCATTGCTCAGGCAGGCAGTCAGGCAGCAGCAGGCAGCACCTAACCAACCGCCACATACCAGAACAGACAACCAAGCAACCAACCCAACCACCCACCCACACAACAAGCCACCCCCCCCTGGTGCCCCCCCCCCCCCACTCCCTCCCACTCATTGTTTATTTGCACAAATGCGTGCGCTTTCGTTTTGTCTGAAATTTCCAATGAATTTTCCAATGTTGGCCAGGCACAAATTGCAAAACGAGGTAAATGCTGGACAAAATGCGGGGGCGGGAACAGCGCATCTAAATATCTACGAGTACAGAGTACAGAGAGAGCGATTCAACGAGCTGTATACACGGAGGAAAAACTGCCTGTTGCTGTTGCTGTTTCACGTTTAAAACATATGTCTGCAACATGCAAAAGTAATGCACAACAAAACACACAGAATCGAAAGAGGAGCAAGAGCAGGAGCAGGAGATTGAGGGGAGGAGAGAATATTCTCCTTCGATCACCCCTCTATCCTTCGATGATGTGTTCTACATGAATTTTGACTTTGACTGGACTGAACGCCACATGCAAAACATACATACAGACATACATACATACATATACATACATATGTAGAATTGTATGTAAACATTGCGCAAGACCAAAAAGCGCTACAACGCGCGTCCAGGAGTAATAAAATTTCTATATTCAAAAGACGTCAGAACGGAGAGTGGGGCAGTGGGGCCAGAACCAGAGACAGAGCCAGTGGCAGGGGCAGGGACAGGAACAGCCGCTGAATCAGCCATCAGAACAACAGAAATTTGACTACAAAAATGGGCAAAATGCAAATACACAGGCAGAGGCAGCGGGCAGCGGGCAGAGGGCAGAAGGCAGCATCTCCCCCTAACGCCCTTTGAATTTTCCATTTTCCATGTGTCCATGGGATGTGTGCGTGCGGCTTTTTCGGCAATTTTGCGGCATGTTTTTCACACATTCACGCGGGGGGGCAGGCAGGGCTGGCGCAGCAAGCGAGAGAGAGAGCACACAAAAACAATTGAGCACGACGCTCTGGCTGCCATGGATATTCATTCCATCTGATAGCTCTTGTATTTGATACCCAGTAATCACCGCCGAGGGTGAAGGCTATGATGGATTCGTTCTGTAAATTTACATATGTCACAGGAAGGAAATGGAGCTAGCTAACCACTGTTATAAGTTGCATATATATTCTGCAGAACCTTTAGAAGTGACGCAACCAAATATGAAAATCCTTTTAGAAGGATTCTTCTACTATAGAATCCCCTAAAAATATTCCTTCAAAATTCCTGGATATCGCCATAGCCGATAGTATCCGCAGAAGATATTCTATAGGAGCGCTGGGCGATGATGATGAGGAGGATGATGCAAGTGCAAATTTATTTGCCACTTTTGATTGCTACCCCCCGACCCCGCCCACTGTTCGAGTGTTTTGTTTCTGGGCGAAAAATGTAAGTGAAATTTCAAATTTCTCGAGTCCAAGCACGAGCCCGAAAAGCCTCCAAAATTGATGGATTTTCCAATTGGAACTTGAGTGCTTTGCTGGTTAGTACTCGTACTCGTACTCATTGTAGTTTTTTTTTTTTGTGTTCTTCTGGTTACGAATGGACTCTGTGACTGGTTCAATGAGCTTTGCCCGTCCGTCTGCTGGCCATTCTACGATGATCCACATACTACAGAAATTCACATATTTCGAATACGTATTTCGTATTCCCCCTTCAAATTCACAGCTCAACACAACACGGTGGATGGATGTCTCCCCCTTGTCTGAACGGAATGGTATGCCCTGGCTCACCCCCACCCTAGGAGCATGGTAAATGGTGGGCCTCTCGAAATAGCCCCAGCGACACTCATTTGAAAGTGTTTAAGAGGAGACACCACCCATACAGACGAAACGAACAACACCTTGTGCCCCACTCAACACTAAAAATTACATTGAAAATGGCCATAAAATAAATGGAGACACAAAAAAAAAACACACCAAATTCGAGGGAGAAAGCATTGAAGCTTTGAATACCCTTACGGGTATCCCTATGACATTATTCCGATTAAATATGTGTGATTTATTTTGCAATTATTTTGTTATAGCTTATAGCTTTTGTAATTTAGAAGCGTTTACTCTCACTTCGGTTGTTTATTATATTACGAGAATATCGACTGCACTTTATAGGCTAGTAAAAGGTATCTCCGCTCCTTTGCGAACATCTAATCAAAGTCATAATACTTTCTGTCTAGAAAGTGTATACAAAACAGAAACCAGACAAAGCGTTGGCCCTTTTCCTGGCTTCTTTTGGCTTTTCATTAAATTAGATTTTATTGTTGCTGTTTTTTTGTTTTTTTTTTTTTTGTTCTACTAACTGTTGTTGTTGCTGTCGCACGGCAGCTAATTTTGTTGAGCAGACAATCTACCCACAGCCACAGCTCCACAGTCGAATTTTCCATTTCCCTTCATTTCATTTGGTGCCTCTCACCCTCTCTCTCCCCCTTGCATGTAAATAAAAAAACCATAAACGAGAAAATCAAAATGAGAATTTTTTGTTATATTCAACTGCAGTCAGTCGTCCGCCGGTCTAATCGGAGCAATCAAAAATTGACTATATATCAAAAGGAATAAAAGATATATACATATATGTATGCATGTATGCTTAGTGGAAAATATATCTAGATATCTCGCATATCGAAAGAGTGTCAAGGCTTGGAAAATTTTGTACATAGCCGCAAGAATTGAGGATTTTCCCCTAGAGCGATAAATACTCGTATGTGTATTTGTAAACAAGATCTGTTGATTGTTGCATTTGTTGTAAACACGCTCGTTTAATGGCCAAGATTGAGGCACAATTTGGCTTAGATGGATTTTCGTTTTTTAGTTACGATTATAATTTATTTATTTTTAAATGCATGGAAAATGTTTATTTGTCAAAGGCTTTCTCACACGAAAAGTGTTTTTAGAAGTCCCAGAAGAATGGTTTTGCGGCAGATTAAAGAAAAGATCTCTTGCCAAAGATCTCTTGAAGCATCTGGCTCTTTTTGAAAGGTGGTTTCTCCCTTCATGAAAGATTGAACATTTCACTTCCATTTTTTTGTTTTTGTTTTCTTTTGCAATATTTTTCCTGCTGCGTTCTCGAAGAATCCCCATATCAAACGGCAACGCCCACGCCCACGCCTCTTGGCACGCCTCATATTATTTATTCATACAATGTCTGTGCAGCATTTTGTTGACAACATTTTACACAAAGATTTACACTATTTTTAACAGCTCGTTAGGCTGCAGGGAAGGGCTGCCTGCTGCCTGCCTGTGTCCCAGGGTCTGCCGATATTGTGGCAGGCAGAGGGGTTACCTCCTAAGGGGTGTGCTTTCGCATCTAACGCTGGCATTGAGCGTGTGCCAAAGCAAATACAGTCCTCACCTCATTAGGGATTAACACTTATGCCCAATTAGACGACAAATTAGACACATTTTCAACTTCCCAGCTAATGCTAGTTGTTACATCTAAAATAATTGAATACGGATCTCTCTACATGCATTCAATTAAATACCTCATATAATAGCACCTTAAAGACATTTCCAATCCATTAGATTTCTCTATAATCTTTGAACCTCTAAAATTATATTAAAAGTAATTCAAAAATGCTCTTTATGCTCCCCATAATTACCTGCCCCTCCAAAAAAAAAAAACAAAAACATTTTGACATTTCCGTAACAAATTTTTATGCTGTCAAAAATCTTCGCAAAAAAAAAAAAGAAAACCAAAATTTTTGTTAGCTAATTTAGAGGCCTACAGCCGTTGGCTGTCATGGATTTCAAACCAAAAGAAAATTTTAAGTAGACGCGTCAGCGGGTTTTCATGTTCTAGCAGGAAAAACTAAGTGCCCGGCAATTGCCCTGGGGAGCAGCAGCAGCCACAGCCGCAGCAGCAGCGGTGGCAGTGGCAGTGGCAACAATCAAAATTTAAAACAAACAAATGCTATCTGGTGGCCTCAGGGGCGGCCGGAGAACAAAGTTAATGCCACCAGTTCAAGTCACTCAAGAGTGCCCAGGCAGAAGGAGAGGACACCAGACTAACGAGAAAGAGAGGGCACTATGGTGTTTAAAAGAGAGGGCAAGAGTGCGGAAGGGAGAGGGAAAATTACGCATAAATCTTTCAATTGTGTTTGGATTTTGGGTCGAAGCTAATAGCCGGTGGATCGGTGGATCGGTTGGATATACCCCCCCTGGGAAACGGTTAGTGAACTTTCCTTCCCGTTGCACTTTTTCCCTTTTGGATTTTGTTGTTGTTTATATGTAGATACGTGAGAGAGAGAGAGAGATATATATATATTGTACGTATGTATACTAAAGGTGGATGGATTGTAAGATCTAGGCATACCCTCACAATGTTTGCAACATTTTGCTGGTGGCTCATCGCTGGCATCGGCATCGGCAATGACCGGCATCGTCCCCAGCCCCTTTTTCGCTGCAACACTTGCACTTGCAACACCACTGGAGAGCGGACAGAGCGGAGAGTCCTCTTGCCTTCGCCTCTGCTCCTCCTTTATTTTTTTGTTGATGGTTGGGAGGTTGGGGGAGGACGTCACACGACTGTCGTCGTCTGGTGTTGGGATGGATGGCACATCATTTAATATCTCACTCGAACTCGAGAACTCGCATCAATTGAATTTGTATTTCCACTTCCGCGACACTTTCTGAGACACACACGAACACACACACACACACACACGCGCGGAGCACACACACGAGTGTTGTTTGGGGTTCTTGGGAAGGATATTAACTGGAACCACCTGTGGGTCAGGTCAGCCCACCACGTTCGATAATGAAAATCTGTATTCTACAGGTTATCTACAGGTTTTCCTCCGTTTCGTTTGTGTTGCTTGCTGTTTGCTTCTGTTGCTGCTCTTGCTGCTGGCTATATGGAATGTTGGCGTTTGCATCGATCGATCGTATTCGGTTAACACTTTTATTTTCTTTTTACGGATATCTGGGGCGATCCTCACGCGGTACGCTTTCGTCTGCTACTGATGTTGGATGTTGTTGATGTTATGTTGAATGCTGAATGCTCTTCTGCCTGCTGCCTGCTGCCTTCTGATGCTGTCTGTCTTGTCGTCTGTGTGTGGGACGTCACGCCAGGCTATTTCTAGTCTTTTTTGGCTTTCACATTGCGCTTTTTTTTTGTCCGTGGAAATTGTTGTGTGTTCGTTTTTTTTTCGAGAGGAGACGTTCAAACGTGAAACCTCCGCAGAGACCACTGAGCAGACACACGGCCAGGCGCACGCCACACTGCTCCCATTTCGAATGCCCGAGCAGCAGCAGCGGCAGCGGCAGCAGCAGCAGCGGCAACAGACGGACGGTACAGACACGGACACGGCACGGACACACACGGATACGGCGGCGCTTTCGAAAACGTAACGAACAAATTTGTTCGAAAATTCTCTCGAGCTAAATTGTTAGATAATTTTCCCGTGGGCATCGCTCGCTTGCGGGCCAAAAAATCTTTTTCAACAATTTTTCCTCAATGAAACAATGAACTTTCACATTTCCTACACAAACAACACACACAACACAAAACGATCTTTCGCTCTCCTTCTCACTCGCTCTCTCCCTCTCTCTCTCCTTCTGGTTCTCCCTTCCGAATCTCACTCTCGCTCAATTTCGAAAACGTATTTTCGAAAATAGATCCCGTACGGTACACTCTCTCTCTCTCTAAAAGATCGGCGCACGGCTCTTAATTTCGAAAAAGTTTTTTAGGAAAAAAGTTCTACTTCGGTCTGCTGCTGGCCGTTCCGTGCACCCTACACGCCCGAGAGAGAGTTCTCCGCTTGGTCGGGCATTCAGGATCATCCGTCATTCGGTTCGGTTCGCTTCAGCTTTGGGGGCTCAGGGGATCGTCGGGTAAGTGGGTTTCTGGGTCAAGGTACGTGTCCGAGCACTAAGTTTCTAATCGTTTTTGGGGGGGGTTTCGGGAAGGAAGCAATCCGTAAAGGAAGGCCTCTGGGCACTGGTTGGGTGGTTCAGGTGTTGTACGATAATTGCAAATGACAATCGAACAATGAGGCAAAAACCTTGGCTGCCATAAGGCCAGACGTTAAATGGTTTGTTAAATGATTGCCAATATTTATTTATTTTTTTCTAAGGTTCAAGTAGGATTATATAATAAATATGTTCTAGAATAAGTATTTCTGTGAATTATTTCTCCTTCTATACTGAAGCACGAAAAGGTTTTTTATACGGGTCTTTATCAGTTTTATTCCCTTTTAATTTGGTCCCAAAATTGTTGAAAAGATTAAAATCTAACTGAATTTAATTGCAGTATGTATAAATTAATAGGGAATATGTGTCTTATATTATACCATTGTTTTCAGCATCCATCACACGATGATCCATCGATACCCATCTTGTGCTATCCACTTCACTTCTAGTTCATGAAGGTTAATGCCCAATTAAAGGATCTCGAAACTTCTCTTGAGCCTCACAGTTTAACGACCTGCACAAATAAACCACTCCAAATATAACCCAATAGACAGTTGAATCATATTTTTATTTTTTATTAATATATGGTTTCCCAACCTTTGGGATATGTCTCGAAACATAATTTATACGAATTTATTCAAACACTTTCAGACACATTTAATATGTGTTGTTTTTTTGGGCTTTCAAAGGAACAACAATTGGAAGTAAAATCATATTTATTATTTTGGCAAACGTCCAAGAATGATATATCCCACCCCCCAAAAACAGATCTTAACTGCAGTTCAAATCCTTTCCCCCACAAATATGACCTTGAGATGGGCAAAACTTTCGCTCAATCTGCAGCATAATTCTCGGGCCAATAAACAAATTCACAAATTGGGAAACCGAAATTCCAGATATAAAGATATAATTTATTACCGTTTAAATATTTCTAAACATGAAATCAAACTGTGAATTGCTAACAAAAGAGTGTGAGAGATCTAAAGAGAGGAGAGAACCACCTGCATGACTAATCTCTGACCCGTAGCCCCCATTTTCTCTTTCGATTTTCTCCTCAATTGATTTGCGGCCAGCCACGGAATGCACGGAGGCGATGGTGAAAAAATCAAAGTAAATTGCAAATACTTTCAGTTTTAAATTTAGATTTAGGCGACAACTAAGTTTGTTTAAATTTAGCACAAAAGTATATATTTTTTTTTTTATTTGCAAATAGAAAAATATACATTTAATAGAGTAAAAGCCAACCCCCCACTTTACCCCACAATCCCGCTAAACATACCATCAAAAATCGAGCAACTAAAAATAAGAAAATTGACTCAGCCTCTGAGTTTTGGCGACACAGCCAGTCCCCGTCCCCAGAACCGAAGAGAACTGTGAAAGCGCAGAGAATATTCTACTATATTTTTTCAAATTTATGGCCAAATTGGGAACGTCAATAGACGGCTCTGCCTCCCAGGGGGGCTATTAGGGAGAGGAAGGATTACACAGAGGCCACCGCGCATCTCTCGCGATTGTGTCATGGCTGTGGGGGCGTGTTTTATGACGGCTTTACTCGTACGTGGGCATATCCAAAGAATCTAAAGAACTATTCCTTGGACTACACTACCCATCAGAATTGTAAGAATAAGATGACACGAGATAGGGTAGGAACTCTTACAGTCCAAATTTCTATACTTTTAAGGCTTCCAAAGTGGTAGGCTTGAATTACAGATGGATATCCTAATGCTTATAATAATAATGATATTTCTTCTCTAACTTTCGTTCTATAGATACCCAAAATTTTCTATCAAATGGGAAATGCACTTGAAAGCCTCCCATCTTGTACTTTTACACTCCCGAAACGCACTGTCTTACACAAATCATATTTGCTACAGATTTTCCGCCCATTTTCCGGCATCTGGGATGGAGAGAAAAACGGCCTTCAATACAGAAATTGTCATAAACAAAAGTGAGGCAATTTTTCATTGGAAATTTCTGCTAGTTGCATTTTCCATTTCCACAATTTCCATGCTGCATGCAAGTGCAATGTCAGGGACAAACAAATTGCCAAAAAAAATGTGCAAGCGAAAAAAAAGGGAATTTATTTGAAAAATTCGCGCAATTTCGAGCGTCTAGTGGAGGTGGATGCGGATGCTGAAAATTTATGGATGCACATGCTAGAAACATAATAAAAAGATATGTACATACTGTACGAGCTTATGCAGTGCCATCCCGCCCCACCGAATGTTTAATTGTTGCCTGACACTGCCCCACAGTGTGGCATCCACTGTCAAGCACCTTGCCCAGGGTCACACTTTGCAAAATAGTTTAACACCCGCCTGAGTTATGAGTGGGACGACTTTTATAGCCCACTGTGCCAGCATTCGCATTCACTTTCCGGCCAAAAAAAAAAACAAAAAAACAAAAAGCAAAACCTGCGCCAATCCATTCTCGAACGTCTTAATAATGCAGGCAACATTTTGCTTATTTATTTTTTTATTTTCTTTATGCATAAATTATAAAGCGGGTAGCATAAAAAAAATATATAAGAAACAAACACCCAGACACACACACACACACACAGATCGAGCGCGTCAGAATTTGTGGTGTGGGCGAGAAAAGTTTTTTCTTTTCTTTTCTTTTAGAAAATTTGAAAAACATTTTTCACCGTGCGAAAGTTGTTGCTGCTGCTGCTGTTGCCTTGCCTTTTACTTTGACGTCGTTTCATAATGACGAAACGGAGAGCATTTAGTTTTCAAAGCAGCTATAAACAAAAGATCGAATTGTCTACAGACAGCAGGGGGAAATATCAAGAGATATTCACAGATCGAAACGCTGCAGTTAGTCTAGAAATAGGGTGGGGGGCGTTAGAGGTATTTGCAGCGGGTGGTGGCATTAGAAGAAAGGTATTCTGAAGGAGAAAAACATTTCCCAATAAACATCGAAAGTCAATTGGTTGTCAGCTCTAAAAATTTCTTTAAATTTTAAACCTATAGTTTTTTAGTTTTTAAACATAACTATCGAAACGCAATCATCTTTTAATGTTTGTTTCACCTTCAAAATGATCCTTCAATTTATATTTTCTTAGCTCTTCCCTTAAACAATTTTTTCATCTGTTTTCACCCCCAACCCCATATAAAATGCAAGCCTTCAACAACTATCAATCTCTTCTACGCCTCTCCCTCTCTGTAGTCCTCTCCAAGAACCCCCCAACACTCCGCCCCCTGCTGATTTCATAATCTACGATAATTTATGTGATTACTTAAATGAGCAATGTTAGATCGCTTGGAAATAAGAAAGAAAAAAAACTATGCCAAGAACATCTAATTGGTACACAAAAAGAGAGAAAGAAATGGGGAAAAATGGAAAAAACAATTCTGAAATATAAAATCTGTCCGTCTGGTGGTGTGTCACACTGGTGGCCAAAAGTAAGCCCACACACTTGTGGGTGGTGCGAGGTGGCCAAGCAACAGGTAGGGGAGGGAAAACTACTTTGCAGGCACTGTATAGCGACGACAGCCAGCCGCAAGAGCAACAAAAACAACAGAAAACTACGAAAATCGCCTGACAAACAACGAGAGCACAGGCGCTGCAATAAATAAATATTCAAATCGGCTAATAATGTTACAGAATATCTAACATATATACTACTATAAACTAAACGAATGTATGACAAGAAAACAAGACAAGTAGTTTGAGTATAAAGCTTAGTGGCGACTATTGATTACACTTTCTTTTGAGAAATTCTTCTTTAATACTTATTTTTAACAGCTTAAAGCTCTGATTATTCTCTGTGCAGTTTTCTTACTCCTCTTTTAACACTTTTACGTTTTATCACTTATTCGGATTAACCGTTGCTAAGCCAATCTTTCAGAACCAAAATACCGAAGAACGTATTCTCTTTCCATTTGTTTGTATCATTCTCCAGCCCTGCTCTTTCACCGAAGCCTTGGTTAAACATCAACAAAGCAATAAGCAGATAAAAAGAAGTAACGGCAAAAGGAAGGAGATAACAGTGCAAGCCCCCAGAAAGTGATGGCGTCTCGTTTTCTCGACTTTGAATTACATTTAAATATAATAAATTCTATAAATAATTATATGGGTCTAAGCTTATCTCAAAATGAATTAAAATATGTACATTTATTTCATTTACAAAAGGCTCATTTGACGGGGGAGATAGTGCATCCAACAATGGGTACAACATACCACATTCCGTGTAATATCCGCGGTTTTACAGCGGAAAACACACACACTAAACGATAAAATGGAAATGGCCAAGAGACTGACTGACACCGAAACCGCCGCCGCCCCCACAACAGCTGCCAAAGGGGGACGGTGGAGTCCAATTGATTGGATATTTTTATATATGTATATGCAGCCGGTGCCACCCCGCTGCTCATTCAGGTGTGATTTATTCGCCTTGTTCACAGTTTCCATTTCGCGCTATTGATATGAGAGGCTGATGTGATTCTTATACTGTACTCTGTACAAATTCCTCATTCTAATAAACAGTCTCGAAATTGGTATTTCATTTGGTATTTTATTCAGTTGTGAATTCCAATTGGTATTTATTTACTCCTACTTTGCAAATCAGACAAAAAAAAGGGCAGGGCGTCGCAAAAGCAACACAAAGAAGGCATCCAAAACGCCGGCAAAACAAAGACGCGAATCAGAGCCACAAAACGGAACAAGAAGTACAAGAAGAAGAGCCACATAGCAGGCACCAGACATAACTGTAATCCGTTCAGAAAGATGCAAAATACGCATTAAATATGCAACAAAATAAGAGAACAACTAAAAATCTCAGCAGCACTACAAGCAACGTCTCCAGGTTGCACTCAAATATAACATTTAGAAAGAGAGCACACGCACTGTGCCGCCACTGGCGGGCACGCACACTCTTGCACACGCACCGTACTATGTCTATCTATATTTAAATAAACAAAAAAATGGCAAAATTACCTCAGCGCCAGATTGATGTTGTTGCTGTTGTTGTAGTTGTTGCTGGTATTTTTCTTTTTGTTGGTCGCCAGCGATTGTTATTGTTGCTGCAGCTGGTGGAGTTCGAGGGGATTACACTGCACGTGGCGTGTCACTGACAACGGGGAGCACTGGTAAAACATCTAGGACCCGAACTAGAGCGTTGGATTGAGCGTTAATAGTTATAAAATGTTTATTAAATGTTTTGTGTGAACAACAAATACGCGACGTTTTTTATAGATGTTCTCGCTGTTATCGGCTATCGTTATCGCTACTGACCAGGGCAGCCACACAATAAACCAGTTGAAACCAAAATGACCATAAACTGCAATTGATTATTATATTCGCCGTATTAATAAAGTGATTTAATTAAATAGTTTATTTAAGCTCTTTTTTAGTTGAATTTTTAAAATTTACTCCCCCACGAAGCAATCAACAGAGCGCCATCTGTTGTTTCTCATCCGAACCTACAGCAATGGCAGCCCTGCCTCAGAGTTGCTTCCGTTGCGATAGCGATATTGGGAAACTGCAGTCTGCAGCAGAAACCAATCGCAAGTTGCAACCCTATACAGACGCCGGATAAAGAAAAAAACGCTTAGCTGAAAGAAAAAATCGGCAAATAAAGGTGAAAATTGAGCCAAAAGCAGCCACACGGGTGAGCAGCAGTTCGCACCCAAGCCTAACACAGACCTAGCCCCAACTAATTCCACCTGCACGTGCCACCCGATCCACACGCAGTGCCGCAGAAACGTGTCTGAAGAAGGGGGGCCCTCTGCGCGTCTACAGCAAAACAACAAGAAGAACAAGAACAAGATGTCTGACATTTCCAGCGAGGACCTGCGCCGCGAAGTGCAGGCGGTGCTGAAGGACGCCGATCTGGCCACCATTTCGGCCAAGAGGGTGCGCGAGCAGGTGGAGGGAAAACTCAATTGCTCGCTGCTCGGCCGCAAGAAGGAGTTCGACAAGATCGTCATGGAGGTGATAAACGAGCAGCAGGACGAAGAGGAAGATGACGACGATGACAAGGATCCCGATGCCGATCCGGACGATGAGAGCGAGCCCAGCGAAGAGGAGTCCCCCAGCAGCAGCGAGGAGGAGAAGGCCAAGAAGAAGCCGGTACAGAAGAAGCGGCCACAGCCCACCAAGCACAAGGCGGCCAAGAAGAAGCGCAAGACACTAAACGCCGACGACTCGGGCACCGAAAGTGATGCTGGCTCCGATTCCGACTACGAGGTGGTCAAGAAGCCGCCCGCCAAGAAGAAGGCCAAGGCCGCCGGCGGCGGTGGTTCCGGCACGGGTGCCCCACGCAAGAGCACCGGCTTCACCCGCGCCTACAATCTCTCGCCCGAGCTGTCCGCCCTCATGGGCGCACCCTCGTTGCCACGTCACGAGGTGGTCAAGAAGGTGTGGGCCATCATCAAGGAGCGGGATCTGTACGATCCTAAGAACAAGCAGTTTGCCATCTGCGACGAGGAGCTGATGAAGGTCATGAAGATACGCAGATTCCGCACCTTTGGCATGCTGAAGCACCTCAAGCAGCATTTCCTTGACTAAGCGGGAGGAGGATGAGAGCACTCCACCCAGATCCCATCCAGATGCAAACGGTCAGCATGCACCACAACCACCAGACAACACCAACACCAGCAAACACACCACACACACACACACAGCACACATCTCTAAACATCGCTTCGCTTAATATTAGTTTAGTTTTTCCCTTTTTCTCTTCAGTCACGTCTCGCAAAACCTTTTCGGCTCTGTTCCAATCTTTTAAGACTTATTTTTACGCGATGTAGACAGCGACGACCAGGACGACGACGAGGACCAGGACACACGCACGGTGGACTCCAACGACTATAATGACGACCCATCCACTCGGGGGGGTGCCACAGCAGCAATGTGTTTAGCATTAAAACCTTAATTAAGACGGATCTACAGAACCATTTTTATGTAGTCTACGGCATTTTAATTATACATACAAATTATAAAAACGAATTGTAACAACAATGCATAATGATGATGATGCTGATGATGAAATGAAAAAGAAAGTGTATAATTTTTTGTGTAACGTACTCGTGTAATTTACATTTTATAACAAATCAAAGAAAAACAAAACAATTTTAAGGCATAATAATATCATGAATAAACTTTGAAATAGTAGACGAGTGATGATGCATCTGAATATAATACATTGATAAAAAGGGAAGAGTTTCCTCACTGTGTATATCTATGGGCAGGAAGAGCGCGGGGAGGTCTATGCCTAATAGGCAGGCGGAGGGGATAATCATTGTAATTATTTTACCGAAGAAAAAAGGGAACTTTATATGGAATAAGCCTCCCATAAGCGATTCGGGATTCGAGATTTTGAACAATGAAATCCCAGATCCTGACTGGAACTGTGGCTATATATCCATTACTTTACACTGTTCCAAATTGGAAAAATATTATTAAATTAATTTCCATAAATATCCCACAGACAGAGGGATATTCTCGTTTATTTTTTTCGAAGAGGTATATCCCCTATATCACGTAGGTATATCCCTTACAAGATCTTAAAAAACCCCCGTCCTTTATCATTGCTCAATAAAGAATGCCTTTTTTATTATTAATGTTTTTCAATGTCTCACAAAACTTCTTACAAACATTTTTCAGTTTTAATTCGCTTTTAGACTTTTCGTTTGTTTTGTTTTTTTTTTATACATAAAGTTCTCTCTAATTTGCATATGTGTATATGCAGTGTATATATATTCTGGATCTGATATATATATGTATATGCCAGCGCGTGTATATAATTGAATAAATGGAATTACTTTTTGCACTGCATTTTCAATTAACATTGTTTTGGGACGCTCAACAAAAACGGAACAAAACTATGAATAGTGCCCGGGCGGCGGTAGGGAGCGAACATAAAACATTTAACAAATTAAGTACATAAAGAATACGACAAGAAAATATACATATAGTTATACACATATACATACATATAGTAGTAGTAGTTACATAAATTCAAAGTACGGCAATAAAACGTTTCAAATTGTTAAATTCTTTGGGGGGTTTCACTTGTTTTTTTTTTTTGATTTAGGGTGAAGCAGAGAAAGAGTGATAGATAGAGAGAGAGAGAGAGAGCAGTGTTGGTCAGTGGTCAGCAGTGTTGTGCATGTTAGGTGTTGATTAACGACAAACGAAAAATATGCAAAAATGCTATCTAAATACTGTCGGGAAAAACGTTAAATGCTATGAAAAAGCAAACTAAGGTATTTGAATTCTTCTCCAGTATCCACTAAGCCATGCTCTCTGCCGATTTGGAGCCTGGTCATTGGATCTTCTACTCGCTAAACTAAGCAATACATTTTGTAATAGTAACTTTGTGTTCTCGTGTGTTCTCTTCTTTTTTGAGTGTTGTGTGTGTGTGTGTTTGGGTTTGGGTTTCGGTTTCGGTGTGTTGTCAACAATTTCAAGAGGGCTCTTCCTCCGCAAGCGTCCGTCTCCATTCACCTCAGCCATCATCAAATTTCCGTCCAGACTTCTCTCTTAAATAGTTTTACTTTTGCAAAGACAATACTTTCGTTGGCGTTGTTTCTTCTAATTGTTGCTGGTTGCTGCTGTTTGCTGGTTGCTGCCGCTACTGCTGCTGCTGCTGCTGTTATTGTTATTGTCCTCATCCTGGCGCAACGCCTTTAGTAGCGATAGTAATTGGGCTTGAAAGGACCGGCCTTATTGAGGCCCATGTACTTGGCCTGCTCGTCGCTCAGCTCCGTCAGATGGGCATCGAATGTGGGCAGATGGAGGCTGGCCACATACTCGTCCATTTTCTTGGGCAGCAAATACACATCGGACTTGTAGCGGCCGGGCGGTGCATTAAACAGCTCGATGAGGGCCAGCGCCTGCGTCGCCGATGTAATGGACACCGCAAAGGAGGGAATGCTCGAACAGCTCAGATTCACCAGCCGTCCCTCAGCCAGCAGTATAATGTACTTGCCCTCCGGCCAGATGATGTGATCCACCTGCGAGCGCACCTTCTCCCAGTTGAGATCCGGCGTGCGCAGCCCATTCACATCGATCTCCGTATTGGAGTGACCCATATTGCTCACAATGCAGCCGCTCTTCATCTTGTCCATGTGCTCGCGCACCACCACATTCTTGTTGCCGGTGGCAGTGACCACAATGTCCACATTCCGGATCACCTCGTTCAGCTTCACCACCCTGAAACCGTCCATGCTGGCCTGCAGTGCGCATATCGGATCGATTTCTGTGATGTACACAATGCAGCCCTATAAACAACGATTGGGCAAATGGGCTTAAGAGGTATTCTAGGGAAGATGTTGGCGTGTCTGATGCTCACCTGTCCCTTGAGGGCTTGGGCACAGCCCTTGCCCACATCGCCATAGCCGCAGACAACGACCTGCTTGCCGCCAAACATCACGTCCGTGGATCGCTTCAAGCTGTCCAGTATGGACTCCTTGCAGCTGTAGAGGTTATCGAATTTGGTCTTGGTCACCGAATCGTTTACATTCATTGCGGGTACCGTCAGTTTGCCTGCCTTGGACAGCTGATAGAGGCGATGCACGCCCGTGACGCTCTCCTCGACAATACCTTTGACGAGCTTGAACATTGTCGGATACTTCTTCAGCATCAGATGGGTGGCATCGCCGCCATCGTCCAGTATCATGTTGGGCTGCCAGTTCTCGGCATTCACACACCGATCGATGCACCACCAGAAATCCTCCTCAGTCTCGCCGCGCCAGGCAAAAATGGGTATGTTGGACTCGGCCAAAGCGGCGGCCACCTCGTTCTGCAGGCAGGGAAGGGGGAGAGCAGAGATTAATCAGTGGGTTCGTATATTTGGCTTTGTTTGGGGTCTCTTATAACATGGTGGTGGTGGGGGGTAAAGATTAGGAACTTATTTCCAGTACATTGCTGCACCCTCTTTAAGCACGGCACTTGTCTGATGATAAGCCCCGTGCTACGGTTCGGTGCCTGGGACAGGGGCTGACATGCCGGGTCTGTGTGGGGGGTGGGTGTTCGGTTCTCTGATTCAGCGTGACAACGTGTCATGGCAGTTCTCGATAAAAAATAATAATAAAAAAGCTTTGCAAAGCCATTGAAAACCTTGGCATGACGGCCAGCGTTTCATTAGACGAACCATAAACTGGTTAGAGGCGGGGAGACTTGTGCTAATTGCATTGGCCACGGCACCAGGAGAGAAGAGATGATGGGCCCACCAGCCTTGACCACATGGGAGGCATCGGTGTGTACCCGATCATGGTCCTCCCCGACCCCGCCTGGCGCTGTGTGACCCAATTCAGGGCACATCAATTATCAGCAACGTCGCGTCATCGATTGCCAAACACTGTTGAGCCGCTGCGGCGGCGTAGACGGAGACGGGGACCCGCACAGCCAGCACTTAATTGATTAACATGGCTTGATTGATCATTTGTTTGTGCTGCGCTTCGTTTTGCGTGGCAACAATTGTCGCGACACGCGAGGGAAATGGGAGGAAATTATGGCTAGAGGAGATGATGATCAAGTGACACTACTCACTTGCGTGGAGTAAATGTTGCAGGCAGCCCAGCGGACGCTGGCCCCCAGCTCCACCAGGGTTTCAATGAGCACCGCCGTCTGGGCATTGATGTGTGTGCAGCCGACGATTTTGGCATCCTTCAGGGGCTTATCCTCAGCGGCACGCTTGCGCAGGGCCATAATGCCGGGCATCTCCTGTTCGGCAATCTCGATCTCGCGCCGACCAAACGCATGCTGGGCGGCAATGTTGCGCACACAAAAATCGGAGCTGCCTTTGGTGTTCTTCTGGACCTTTTCGCGGGGCGGCACATCGTCACCGTCCTCGCTGCTGCCCGTGTACGAGGCAGAGCTGAAGGAGTCCGTGGAGGAGGCACTCAGTGAGCGACTGCGGTAGCGGCTGGTCTTCTTGAGGGCCGACGATTGCTTGGTGGGCGGAGGTGGCACCACAACGCTGGCATCCTGAGGGGGTACGGCGGCCTGCTGCTGCTTGTCGCCGCCACCGAAACCGGGATCCACCACCACCGTGTCCGCCAGGTTGTTCATAATATATTAATCCTCTGCTTCTGCTGTTGTTATGTAAAGAACACAACTGCCGCAGGATGTGAATGTGGGGGATGTCGTGTGGTGTGGGGGTGCTGTGCTCTACGAGTCGCAGATAATTATCACGTGATACTCCAGCGGCTTTCTCTCTCTGTGTGTGTCAGCGTTACGTTCGTAGTCGAGGCCGTCGCTTGTGTCAATTCACTATTTAAATTGTATTTTGTGTGCGTCTCCTTTGTTTCACCTCTCCGCTGTTGTTTTTGCTTCTTCTGCTTCTTCGCTCTCTACGCACGCCAGAGCATTTGGACAAATATTGGATGAAATGATGGGCTGGCGGCGGTCGGAGTGGGACTGGTCGGAGTGGTGTGGCGGTGTCAGTGTGTGTTCGAAATAAATAGGGATCGCCGATCGTTTAATTAGTTGATTTTTATCAAGAGAAAAGAGAACAAAATTTTTATCAAGAGAAAAGAGAACAAAACATCGAAAACATCGATGTTTCTCGGATTTATCGAAAATATACCCAAACATACCTTTTCTTTTTGATAATATACCGTAAATATACCGAGGAAAATCATATTACTCAATTATAATATTCGATTTTATATTACATGATCAATAAGACTCGCAGCGCTAAATATATAGTTTTATCCAATAGACAAATCAATTTTCTACAATCTGAAGAATTATAAAGACTCCTTTTTATTGGATTACTTATAAAATACTGTTTAAACAAAGAAGGTAAACAAAAATGTCATGTCACTTTTTTACATGGTAACTACACGGTAACTACACGCACGAATACTGCAAGTATGAGCTCTCGATAGTTGGAACAATAGTTGGCGGTAACAACCTCTCATTTTGAAACATTAACGTACATAAAAATATTCGAATTTTATTCAACAAAATAGTTAACACGTTGTAAAGTAAATCCCCTCCACTACATTTGTTCTTCCAAATAGCCGCACAGCTCGTAATCATCCGCACTCGTAACAAGACGCGCCTCCGTCTGCATTCCCGCCTTGTAGGACTGCCGCTTGTCCACCAGTCGCGATAGGTTCTCCACTGCCAGGGGTCCATGCTTGGCGTGTTTCTTGATGAAATCCATCACAAGATGCTTGTCCACCACGGACATCTCTAGGATGTGGCTCCAGGCGAGCAGTGCCAGCGGTCGTTCCGGCGAGAGCAACTGCGAGGGCGTGACGAGGTGCCGATAGAGACAGCCGCCGACAATCTGCTGCAACTGATCCACCTGGCCCTGGAAGGCGCAGGGATGGTACAGCATAACAATGGCACCCTCGGCAAGATTCCTCATGTATCGCTGTGGCGGCAGGTACGAGTAGGTGCCGTACTCCGCTGGCAACGGACGAAAGGGACCACTGGGAATGGAATGGGCATGGGATTAGTATGGGAAGAAAACTCTTGGACGTATGATCCCTACTTAGTGGGTGGGAGATGCGTGTACTCGATGGACACGTTCAGGCACTTGGACGGCGGCACATAGGCACTGGGCAGGAAGTGCTCCGTGAGCAGGGCCTCCCTGGACATGTTCGGATCGTAGATGCTGCGATTGCTGCTGATGCACAGCATTTCGAAGCTCTGTCCCACATCATTCGGATCATAATCCACGGAGAGATTGCTCTAGAATAAACAAAGATGAGTCATGGCTCAAAGGTGAAAACCCATCTACTTGCCATTCCGTCATCACAGATGGTTTCTTTCAGGGGTTTGATTGCCGCGTGCTGATGCTTGTGGGGCTCATTGGGTGCCTGGGGGAACCATTTGCCATTCCAGCTTTCTGTAGAAGCCTCGGGTGGCGTCGATGTGCTCGGCTTTTGATTCTTCATTACATGCGGCTCGCCAGGACCAAATGGGAACCATTTGCCCGTCCAATCATCTTTGATTGTGGAGTCTGTGGTCGTCTCCAGTACACGTTGCACTTTCGGAATGTGTGGCTCTCCGGGAGCGCCCTGCCAGTCGTCCAGATTGAATGTCGGCGCCAGGAGATTGGCCTGCCCCTTTTTGATGGACTTCGACTGGCATGTGGCAAGGATAAGGCACAAAACGGTCAGAGAATGCAAAAGGAACATAACAATTACTGAAGCAAACAAAAGAGCAGCAAAACAAAAGAGAATAATATAATTAAGAACTTTTCGGGAGCAACAGCTGTGTGGGAATAAGGGCGTTTTGCAGCACTGCTGAGGTCACGACTTTAAACAGGGTATCAACAGGTAGATTGGGACGGGTGCAGCTCACGGGTTCCAATAATAGGTATCAGGTAAAATCATAAATAATGTTTCAATGGAGCTTGGAACAAAACATTTAACATCAATTAAAAGAAATAAGGTATACGCATAGAAGAAACGGTTGACCAGCAACACTGACGTCACATTTAGTCAACATTTCCGTTTTATGCTTTGACCGTTTGTGTTTGAACCTTTTTATGTTAACAATCCAATGAAAAAGAATTCTGAAAACTAGCCAATACTGAAAAAAATTTATTGAGGAATTGGATGAAACTATTTGTTTAGGGCTGTGAGGGTCAACTAGCTAGTAATATTAACCGGAATATTAAAATCGAGGAATATTAACGTTGAATGTTTTGAAAAAAACAATCGATACTATCGTAATAGTATCGGGCTCAAATAATTATTAAAAAACCATTGAAACCTTTTAGGAACTTGTCCAGTGTAAAAATTAGATGCTACCTGTCGATTTGTTTGCAAATTTGTTTTATAGCAGCCAATCCAAAAATATCAAAAGCGCAAAAACTGTAGCTCGATACTATCATGATAGTCTCAAAACCATCGATAGTAGAGGCTAGCAGCAAAATATCGATACTATCGGTAGTGCCCTCTTTGGTTTGACACCTCTAAAAACAACAAATTAATTCGAAAAATTGCATGATTAAAATATGTGCGGTTGCACAAACCGAGAAGATCCGAAGAAGAACACGTAACAACGTGTTGCACAGATGTGTGTGGAGAACAGAGTCAATCAATAAACGAAAGGTGAGTGCAAACGAAGGCAAGCAAGGCTGAAATGAAAGGAAGGCAGCGTCGCACAGTCAAAGCAAAGTAAATGCCACCCGGCCCCGGCCCCAATTAGAAGTGGCAGTAGCAGCAGCAGCAGAAGCAGAACCAACAACAAAGTTTCTTGCACCCGAAGACTGAGTCAGGCGTTTGATGATGATTGAATTGGATTATCACGATGTGGCTTTTTCAATTGCCATTCGACGCTGGCTGGCCAGCCGGCGTTGTAGTTGTTTACATTGCGCGGACGTGGCGCAATATATTTTTAATCTACTCCGCTCCAGCAACCTGCTGATTAAAATATTTCTGTTTGATAGATAACTTGAACGGCCTTCAGTTTCGGCATGGATGTGGTGACGACAAACAGCGCTATGACTACGGCCACCGGAGCGGCGGGGGAATCCACATCGCCGCCATCCAGCAACGAAGCGGCTGCTGGATCCCAGAGCGATGCCTCCGAAGAGGAGGAGTACCTGGACAACAGCATCGAGCTGCGCGGCTATCTGAGCAAGTGGACCAACTACATCTATGGCTGGCAGCCACGCTACATTGTCCTCAAAGACGGCACCCTCTCCTACTACAAGTCCGAGTCCGAATCGGATTTCGGCTGCCGCGGGGCCATCAGCCTGACCAAGGCAACCATCAAGGTAAGGAAGAAGGGTTTGGGTGCGTTTGCTGGAGAGTCCCAGCAAGTGTTCTTAATTAAACTAATAAAAAAAGTAATGGGCGCGAGTGTGTGTGTGTGCGCGCATGTGTTTTGGTCAAATTAACCAACGAAACCGCCTCGATGACCACGGCCACGACCCCGGCTGGATTCCATGTTCATTTCTATTCCCATTCCTCACTCACACTCACACCCGCATTCCCAGCGACGCAATCAATGCAGCGCAATCAATTAACGTTGCCTGGACAGCGATATACTCGAATTTCGACGAAAATAGACCAAATTGAAGTCATCAATGTAAGTGGGGTGCCCCTGCCAGTCCGACTGCCAGCGCACACAAACACACCTCCTCCGGGGCCCCGGGGCACAGGGGCACGGACTTTGATGTCTTTGGTTGGGGTGTTGACAGGAGGGCGTGTGTTGTTTACGGAGGGCGTTTCGAAATGAGTGTGCACTTGTGGCCCATACTTTATCTATTTATACGGTCGCAGTGGCCAAGACCAACCCATATAATATCTGATGGTGACTCATGCCAGGGACCCTTCCTGTAATTTGCACTAATTCCGAGCAAACAAGACAACTGATTCGAATGATTGTATTATTCCCTGTTTGTTGCAGGCCCACGAGTCGGACGAGCTGCGGTTCGATGTGGTGGTGAATAACCTGAACAACTGGTGCCTGCGTGCCGAGACCAGCGAGGATCGCATGCACTGGGTGGAGGTTCTCCAGCTGTATAAGGAGGACACTGGCAGCACGGACACCACCTCGCTGCGACGGCACGGCAGCACCATGTCGCTGCAGTCCAACACCATTTCGCTAACTAGCGGCGGCAGCCTCAAGAAGACGCAGCGCAATCTACGCGAGAAGGTCGGCGAGTTGGAGACCTTCAAGGACATTCTTTTCGGGCAGATTGAAACGCTGCAGCGCTACTTCGATGCCTGCTCGGAGCTGAACAAGACCAATGCCCAGCCACTGGACTTGGGCGATGGTCTCAAGTGCATTGATTTCAAGGTAAAGTGAAATAAATACTTGCCAATCGTGTTGCGGAATGTAATGACACTTCTCTCTGAAGGGCGAATCCATCACGTTTCGGGCCACAACATCCGGCGTGCTGACTACCCTGCAACATTGCCTGGAAATCATAGCAGAGAGCGATGAGTCATGGAAGCGGAAACTGGAGCGTGAAATTGATAAGCGCCGTCGCTCTGAGGAGCAAAATAAGTAGGTGGAACCCGACGCTGAACGATGGACAAAATTAAGACAAATTTCCGGGGTTCTATTTGCAGAAGATCCAAGGACGAAATCGAAAGGCTGAAACGCCTATCATATCCTGGCCCAGATTTCGAGGTGAGTTTCAGTTTACAATTTTGAGTTCGGTGTCCCACGTGCGCAGTGGCGCTGCTTTGATTAGCACACACACACACACACACACACACAAACCGTCCGAATTGCGTTCACGGTCAGAGCAATTCGGGCCAAACACGTTCCGTTGCCACTGCCACGGAATGCTGATTGCAAACACAACAGAGACGACAGAGAAAGAAAAGCAATTTGCATGCCCTGCTCCGCCCTGCTTCGTCTTAAAATAAACTCTCTGGTTGTATCAACGGATTTCATCAGACGAACGGAAAGCAGAACATGGCCCTTGTATTTGTTTTTAAACAAATTTCCGATTGAATAATGGAGAATGTGTTATGTTAGTTTCCCATGTTCCGATCGAATCTCAAGCGCCGCATGCAATCCCTTTGGCGTTTAATTGCCCAGCTCTCTCTGATTTCCACCATAATTTAGTTATTTTTGTGTTCTATTCAATTAATATTTACTCCCCCAACAATGGATATGCATCAGAACATTTTTTTATTGCTAGGCCCTATCAGATTTCTGCTTCATTTGGCGACTGCTCAAGCGCAAAAAGTGGGCGTCTAGACGGGTTCAGTGCTGCGCATTGACAGCTTGATGTTGCAGAAGATTTGCCATGAGCCAATAATGCAGTCATTGAGGTTGACGAATGCGCTCATGCTCCAAGAAATGATCGTAAAGTGAGGTACTTTAAATGTAGGATTCTCTTTCAAAATACAGATAGAGTATTCCATCTGCCCCGTGTCTCTCTGAGCCAAGCTCTGCTCTCGCTTTTAGCCTGGCTCGCGCTCAACTGTCGCGTCGCTCTTGATGGCTTATGGCATGGGGTTTGGTCAGTTCGCGGTCAGCGATCGAGCCGCCAACACGTACCAATCATAAACCAATTTGCGGCGCAAACAAACCCAAGCCCAAACCAAAACCAAAAACAGTTTCTTTTTCATATTTGTCGTGGCTTTTAATTTCTGTGTGCAGATTGTGAAACCTTTTGTCAGTTGGTTAGCTGCAAAATCAAATCTAAAATCGCAACACGCACCCCAAAAATACGCGCAAACAAAAGTTGGAATGCCCTCAGTGCGATTTCTTTGGCGCTCTGGCTTTCAGAAGGGAAAGGTCAAACCAATTGCGGTAGGTGTTCGTTCTGCTCCGCTTTTGGTTAACGAAGGATAAAACTTTGGCGGCTTTTGCTTCTTAAACCAAATTGCTTTCATTTGTGGAGCCAAGCTGTCCCTCTCATTAGGAGTACCCCTCTCAAAACCCCGCACATTGATTTATTATTTAAATACGAGCAAATCCTTTTCATTAAAGCTTTTTGCAGTGCTTTTCTCTCACCCGCACTTACTCTCCCCCTTTGGGCCATGCTCTCTGGCAGCTGCTGCCAGCTCTCCCTCTCTCTCTGGCTTTGGCCCGTTTACGGGCTTTTGAGTGTGGCCTGGCCCACAGCAACAGTTTGTTTCGTGTCCTTGCGCTAAACGGAGGGATTTGGCCGGACGCTCGCCCGCTTGCTTTCGCTGCAGTCTCTCTCTCTCGCTTGTTGCCTTTCTCCCCCGAAAGAGAAAAGAGAAAACTTTTTCGCGCTTCAACTGTTTTTTTTTCGGTGGTTTTTCTGTGGTGTTCCGATTCAACAGCATATATTATAGGGCCACAAAAGCAGGAGGAGGCGAAGGACTTTGGTAAGAGGAGACATTCCGACGCCATGGGGATAAGTACTCGCTGAGCAGTGACTTCATCGCTATTAAAATATGGCCCACATTTCGCCCGCTTGTGGCCGATGTGGCCGATGCACTTGTCTTCCTCCTATTTGGGGTGGTGGGGTGTGCTTATTTCATCGCCTTGGGGGCGCGCACATGTCTGCATTAATTAATAAATATCAATTTATTTCCAAAGATTCCATTCACAGCATTTATTCTGCGCCTGTTGCCGGTTGCCGTACGCCGTACTGGGTAAACACGCGCCTCGTCTACAGACGTCACAATGGGGGTACAGTGAGGCCTATAAAGAAGGGACCCCCTGCATTTATTTTCCCTTTTCCCCATAGAAGTTGTTCAATCTCAGTGCTCCAGCCTTCAAGTTTATTCCACTGTACAGTCCCAGCATTCCAGACAGCCTTCTGCTTGGGTATTCAAAGCACAAA